TAAAAAACCACGTTATATACAGAATTTATTAGTTCAAGCTGAGAAACGTAAAATTGAATATGAACGTAGGAATGAAAGATTGATTCAGAAAGAAAGAGAGACTGAAGGAAATGAATTTAAAGATAAAGAAGCATTTGTCACTTCATCATACAAAAAAAAACTGGAGGAGTTAAAAAAATTGGATGAAGAGGATTTAAAACTTTCATTAATTGAAGATATAAATGATGTTACCAAACAAAAAGACATGGGCAGCTTTTATAGACATTTATTCAAGTCAGAATTGTGTAACAATGATGATGATAAAAATAATGATAATGGTGATAGTAAAAAGCCAAAAAAATCTGATGCAAATCGCCAATACAGAAAACGAGCTTCATCAAATAGTTCAAATGATAAAGACAATGACATATCAGATTCTGATTCTTCAGTAGACGAATCTAAACGCAAAAAAATTGAAAATAATAATGAAGATGTAAAAATAAAAATAGCAGACAAATCAAAGGTAAAATTAGAAGAAAAATTATCAGATGAAGAAAAATGCAAAGTTGAAGCAGAAGAGGAATCATCAAATGATAAATCTAAATTAAAAGAAAATATAACTAAAGATATATCTGAAGTAAGAAAAATAGAAAAAAATGAAAGTATACCAAAAGACATTATACCTAAAATAAATATTTGGAAAAAAAGAACAATTGGTGATATTTACGAAGCAGCACGTCAAAGGTATTTTGAAAGAAAAATGAAACAAATTAATTAATATACTCAATCCTAAAATATATTTTTTATACATATAATTAATCAATGTTGTTAAGGAAAAAATAAACATATTTATTTTTACATTAAGATTTATTTTTAATTTATTAACAACACTTTTTTTTTAATTAAACAATTTAATAACATAATAATATATTTTTTAATACTAATGTAAAACTATTTTATTAGTTACTAGTATATAATGGCAGACATATAATTATCACAATAGTTTCTACAATTATAGCAAATGAAAAACAATTACCATGTAAAAAAATTAACTATAATCTACAGACTACTAATAGTCTGTTGTTCAATTAGGGTTGGTATAGTATTTATCTTTAAAAAAAATATCTCATTAGGAACATTAATTGGAATGCAAAAATATTTTTATTTAAGAATATTTCTTTTTAATAAATAAGTTATTTGAGTATTTAAAATTAAATAAAGAAAATACACAATAAAAATAAATTAGTTGTGAAAAGGTTGATATTTCTAACTTTTAGTTTTTTTTATGTATTTTTAGTATACATTTTAAATTGAAAAATTCTGATTAAAATTGAAGAAAAAAAATAATCTAAAATAAATGCACCATTTAAACTATAATTTTTTTTTTTTTATGTATTTTCAGTATTAATTTTAAATTTAAATATTCCAAATAAAATTGAAAAAAAAAAATAGTTTAAAATATAAGTACTTTCTGAAAATAGTGACAATATTTATGAAAATAAAAATTTCATAATTATCACAGAAATGGATTTGATTTCCAATCTGTTTAATCTTCTTAATTTATTATACACCTTACTTAAAAACGTGAATAGAAATTATTTTGTGATAAGATGATGAAGTAGGTTTTCATTATTTTAACACTAAATATCAGGATTGTTTAACGAATCATCTTGTGTATAGTATAAATGAAAAATTAAATTTCTGTGGAATTGAGAAAAGATTTTACACACTCTTTACTGCATAAGGGCTTATCACTTTTAACAGTAAAACTTTTACCCAAGAGAGATGTATAACACTGATAACATTTGAAGCATGCTGGAGACTGGTGCCAACTCAACTCCTTCCAACCAATCCTGGTTTCAGTAGCCACTATACTATTATGACAGGTTTCACATTTCTAAATAAAAACATAAAAATAATAATTCTGACATTTCATATATAGATAATACATACTTTGCCATATTTAATTTCATAACAATCTAAACAAACTGGCTGATGTTCAATCACTACATACTCTAATCCAGCTAATGGTTTATCACATTCAAAACAACAAAAATGACGAACATGATATGTATGTTCCTCAGCAATTGTATACTCTTTCAAAAATATTAACTAGAGCAAACAAAATAATTTTTCAATAAATTAGTTAAAATTATTTTGATTATTGATTTACCTCATCACATGCATTACATCTGGGTATATTCAAAATTTCTGCATAATGTCTACCACAGTAAACATTCCAATTATTGAAAAAATATACAAGATCAACCAACAGTTCCTATAAAAAAAAAAAAAATAACATAATAACAAGTCCAAGAATAATCTAATCATACCAATTTATAAACATTACCTCGCACGTAACACAAACAAAGCATGATGGATGCCAAAAAACTTCTTTACCAGTTCGTTCAGTCATAACAGCAATTTGACCAGGATATACATTTTTCTTACATTGTTTACAAAATAATTCTTTATCATCAGTAAGAATACATGTATCAGCATTAGATGTAATACATTCTTTTGAACCTGTTATAATTTCATTTTTTGATGATATATCAGCATTCTGATCATATAGCATAGGTTTATAATTATCATTTTGAATATTGGATGAAAAATTTGTACATTGTTGAGGCAAACATTCAGACTTGGCTATGTTTGAAGTTGATCTTTGTGAAATCATTTCAGATACAGCTGGATTATTATTAGCATTATCTAGTATATTGACTTCTGATTTATTATTTTTAGAATAGCTTTTATAACCAAAAAATGAGCTCGGTGTTTTTAATTCTGTGTTAGATGGATACAAAAGCTCTGAAGGAGGTGGTGGAAATTCTTCTTCATCAAACTGCTGATTATTAATTTTTTTAAATGGTTTAGGAGTGAGGTTCATATTTTTAAACAATTGAAGTGAGTTATTAGTGTTATCAGCCAGTTTCTTGACCAATCCCTGACCAACTGCATTCTCTTTTAAGTTTTGTAAATAAGAAGTCATAGCATCAGCTTCTTCAGCAGTAAGATTATGACAAACATTTGCATTAAAATCATGCAAAGGAACTTGTTTCTCTAATTGCTGACGTCTGTATATAGCTCCTTCACTGCCACTAATTGGTAGCTTATCAGATGGTAACAATTGCATATATTCTGAAGCAAGATCTTTATGAACATTTGGTGGAACCCAATCAAATTTATATGTGTTTTGATTTTGATCAGTTTCTAGTTTTTTAACAAAATGATCACCATCAGGTTTAATAATCATATTCAACACTAAAATTAAAACATTTTACCAACATTTAATTAATTTACATACACATTGATACATTTAATGTATAATAAATAATACCTGCTTTAACTGGTTGGTAATTTGATTTAGAATCATTAAATAAAATATCCAACTGTTTATACTCATCATCATCTGCAATACTGTGTTCTTCTCTTTTACATTTACAGTTTTTACAAACCTTTCGCCAAAAATGTAAATCCAAGCCAGGACATGCATCTTCACATTTTAAACAACTTGAACCAGATCCAATTTCATGAGCTAATTTATGATACTGAAAAATAATATGCATTCATATAAAATTCACAATGAGTAGTGACAGTAGTGTTTAATCCTCTATGAATTAAATATGTGTGATTGTCAATTAATAGAATATATACATTGAAGTTTAATTATTTATTTATTAAGTGAACGTTTAAACAATGCTTAAGCGCTTAAATTGATAACTTTACCACTATTGAACATAAAGGTATATGCTTAAAAATATGTATGTCAATTTAAAAAACCTAATAAAAATTCTGAATGACTAATATTAGATCCGTGTTACAGATTTTATCTTAGGATTATGATCTGAATTAATATATATACACCCGGAATATTATGAAACCATCTGGACTAGACACTTGATATTCCTTGACGTCGAGGATTAATAATTTATAGTGTTAATTATACTAATTAGAACTGAAAATCACAAAGCAATGATTTAAATAGAAATAAAGTACACAAGACGGCCGGAAACATAACAGGGCACTTATCGAAGCAGGAGCTTCACACTACCAAAACGCGAGTTGGTAAACGTACATGGGAGAAACCGTCGTATAGATGTATATCAGGAGTGTGTATACTTTTTTATGTTTGTTCTCCAACCGCGAAACCCATTCAGGCGTCTTGAAGTGTTCTTCCGGTTCCATGGCCATAGCGAGTGTTTTCGGTGTAACGGTTACTCGGTCGCGGCTGGTCGGCGAACAGTGAGGACAGGACGTCCGATGCGTATGCGCTGCTGCTGCTGAAAGTGTTGGGCACTCGTCGACGACTAGTGGCAACTACTTAGAACTTACTACGACGGGCAACCCGAGGCCAAGTGACGGATAACTCGACGATGAATCACCGGTAGTGATCCGCGAATGAACGATACGTGCAGCGGTGGGAAGATGCGAGACGATGACGTCAGTGCGACATTCCTATACAGCCGGCCACAAGCAATTGCCGCATTCCATATTGCCACTCGATGCCGATAAGCAGATGACGGTTGTATTGTGTCAGCACTTCAACAAATATTGTCGCGGCGGGGATGGCTGAGCACGACTGCGGTGTACGGTTGGTGGACGCACAACGAACGGCTCCCTCCACCGTTCAACTCATGTTTAAACTTTCTTCATACCTGGCCTTTCCTTACCAATCATGGTACATATTTCGACTAAAAAGATTTGTTATAATTAAGGAACGAATTTTAATTTAATAAAAAATATTTAAATATATATTTGTTTATTACTTCATAAATATTTATTTATAGTATTGAAATTGAAAATAAGATAGAATTCACTATAATTTATAAATAATACATAATACAAATTAAAAATGTTTATTCTGAATCATCCAAATAGTATTCGTGGGAGAAACAATTAGAAATGATAAATAATTTGAAATTTTCAAATTAAAAACTACAGCAATTCGATCTTATTATTGCTTTATAACGGCTAAATGACATCTTCACACTACGAAAGTCATAAGTGCATATTCATACACGTCCATTCTTTTGGATTATATTATATTTCTAAATTTTTTTTTTGGAGTTCGGTTTAATAGTATACTCCTTATCGACATTACAGTGTTATATCCTAGTTATTTTCCTAGTATATTTTGTAATTTTGAATTGGTTATAACCCAATTCCATCAGAAACAAGTTCCAATTGCTTTATGGCATTATCAACTATTTCTAGGCTCTTGGTTAATACCATTTTTGAAGTTTCTAATTTTGAAATAATTTCAACTAAAAATAAGAAATTATCAGAAATAAATTCTATATTGTTTTACAAGTTTTTACATTTCATGAGTTCAATATGCATATACATGATACGGTATACGGTCCAATATGCGACCTACACACTGATTTACGGTCCAATATGCGAACTACGTTATAAATGTAATTAAATGTAAATAATTTTATTTAACCTTTTTCTTATTCCACTTTTCAGTGTCATCAATAACTATGTATTGTTTAAGTCCGTATTGTTATAAAACGTATTTTTCACATCGGTCAAATATTCATCAAAAATAGTTTTTGGATTTTGACACGATCTCCACCACTCTTCTTGGAGTTGTTTATCTAGTAAAGGAGACGTCCCATTTTTTTTTAATATTATATTATTTCACATAATGATAGCTGACTATTATAACGGCCGTGTAGGTAAAAAAGTCACTATATTTACAAATCGATTGGTAAGTCTGGCAACCCCGTTTTGCACATCATAATGTTACTACTTTTTTCATAGTGCCATCAGAATTTCGTTTTTTTATTACTTCTTAAATATTCCACAAGTTGGCCATTACATACAATACCGTCTTTCACCTTTATACATGTCATCAGATTATCGGCCAGTAATAACCCTCGATCTTTTAAATATTGAACACATACCACTTCATCTCTAATAATGTGCCTATATAGGTGATCAATAGCAGATGTCATGATGAATTAGAAAAATTCACACACACAAAATAAAACTCAAATAAAAAATCACAAAATTGAGCGCACGCCACATACGAATGAAATTGGAACTGTACTGACTAAGGACAGTATAGACATTATTAATGATTGTAAATACTTATCGGAGAAAAATATCGAAATATTGAAAAAAAATATCGAACAAATATAAAAATAAAATACCCATAACGACAATAACCGCGATAAAGAAACCTGTAGATCAGGGACTCCCAACCTATTTTACTTAACGGCACACTTGATAATTTTAAAAATGTCCATAGACACTTAAATAAATAATAATGAATATACATAATGTCATAATTATATATAATGTATTATAATACAATTATATTAACATAATATATATATATATATATATATATATATATATATATATATATAATACAAATTTAATTTGACATTTGAGACTGGTGTTTTTTACATAATTCCTCTATTACGGGTGAAACAGTTGAAATGATACAAACTGTTTAAGTATAATCAATGTCACCATTCCAAGTAAATCCAAAACATAAATAATTATCAACATATTTACATTTAATTTTTAAATTTAAACTTTTATCACTTATTAAAGCTGATTGTTTAATATTAATTTCAATATTCAAATTGTTGTCATTTGCACTATCATTACTGTCATCCGTTAATTTACGCTTTTTTAAAAATCTATTCATTTTTAAATTTAACTCACAATATTTCTTGATCAAAATACCTAAACAGCATAATGCGTAACAATTACACGCGCTCAATTTTCATTATAATGAGCTCCAGCTATGTTTTCATGTAGTCATTTTAGTAAGTAGTAAAAGTCAACGCAACTGCTTGTAATACGCGTATCGGGTAATATCGGATCCCATATAATATTATAGCTGTTTTATCAAGACATTTTATTATTTTTTATTTTCAAGGGAATTTTGAAGTTAATGCTATCATAAATATAAATTATAATTTTGATTATTATATTTAGTTATGCTTAAAAAATTATAAAATTACAAAAATTATATGGCACACCTGAATAATTTCGCGGCACTCTTGTGCCGCGGCACAACGGTTGGGAATCCCTGCTGTAGATCAACTCAATCTTATCGGTAGGTCGAGTAACATTCGTAGGTCGCATATTGGACCGTTACCCATGATATATATATTTAAATATTTGTATACGACTAGACGCTTTTGAAAATGTTTTTTACGTATCTGTTCATAAAATACTAAAATAAAAGCGGAAATTCTACACTAATAAAGATTACGTATACTTACCTATTTAATTGTAAAATATTTAAAAATATTTAAAATAAAATAAGCGTCAGTTTATTCAAAATTAAATGAAACGTACACATATATCAAAAACTTTCCGATGATAAAACTACACAAAAATATTTATTTAAATAAAAATCCGTTCTCTAGTTATATTTAATCTATAGCAGAGGTAAACGGAAAAAAAAAAGGTTAGGTTACCTCCAAATGAAATCATCTATATGCTGTACACCTCAGTAATCCGACCATTAATCAATTATGCTTGCTTAATAAACGCAGTGCCCTTCCCAACAAAAATTAACAAAATCCAAATCCTTCAAAATAAATTACTAAGAATATGTCTAAAAGCTCCATGGTTCAAGAGGAATAAGCAAATTCATTATGATACTTAGTGGTTAAAGTGGGAAAAATGTTGTGGGGGGACTATATTCATCAAAAATTGAGGAACGTTCCCCTACCTAATTCTAAATCTTACTAACCTTTTTTAAGAAACCCATGAGGTCTAAGCCTCTTCTGTTAGACATATATGTTCATAAAAACTTTATTTTCACAGGGTGTAATAACAAATTTGCCCCAAAGAAAAATAATTCTATACATATGCCTGTTCAGTAAAAATAAATTGAAATAAATAGTAGGTAATGTTTAAAAAACTTAACAAAACTAAAAAGAAACAATTACTAACCTTGCTAGTTGTTTGGTCAACGTAGACAGAAACTAATACGTACATTGCACATAAGGTGTGTACTGTCTATAAGATAGTGTCTATCCTCACAATTTAATATTTATACTATTTATAGTTATTCTACTCTGTTTAAATTAATTCTAAATAATAGCCAATATCACTATAATTTTAATTTTAGAGCTTTGGGTAATAAACGCTCGGGATCATCTATAATTAGACACAGCGTCAATTAAATTAATCCATGGTTTACATTATCTACCATTCTTGCTTATCGTTATACCTACATATTATTTCTTCGAATTTTTTCCATTTGTTCAAATTAATCAGGAAAATAAATTTCATGTAATATTGTAATATTATAATAATTATTGTATATTCAATATTGTATTTTAGTGACCAATGCCATTAAGCGTCCGCCCGGACTTTTGGCGACTTAAATTGAAGAGGACGCATTATCTTGGACACCGCCCCCCCCCCACTTTAACCACTGCATAATATGTACACAGTGTGGCAACTAAGGTTACTAAGGCCGGGATACAATACCAAATAATAGAGCCCCTTACCAAAATTTTACAAAATATTTTCATGAAAAATATATTTATATATGTAAAGTTAAGTATCCTTCACAATTTAAATTTCTTTTTAACTAAAAAAATACAAATTTACATTAGATAAAAATGGTTAATATACGTTTAAAATTATAATAAAATAATTTTATATTTATGTTTTTCATATGTTTTTTCATATATAATATATAATACATGTATTTACTTATTTACACTATTATACAAAATAGTAAATACATTTACAATTATAAAAATAATAACATATTTATAATATAAAAATTACTTTAAAAAAAAATTTTTTCTGTTTTTTTGATTGGCAAAATCAAAAATTAATTTTTCTACATCAAATTCTTCAATTCATTTAAATTAATATAATTTAATGTTATAGGTTGAGAAGATCTTTCTACACCATTTGCGTTTGAGACGTCTTGTGGGGTTGTCTTTGAGGCTAATTATGAGATGAGGTGGTTTAATTCATACGGAGATTCCCTAACCTCTTGTAAAAATTTATGGCTGTGTCGTGAACGATTTTGATTTGGAGGTCATCATGGAGAAATTTGTTCATTACGTACCAGAAAGTTTTAGCAATGATACGCAATCAAATTGATTAGAATGCTTGAATCGTTTGAATATTTGATTTTTTGGTTGGGCTCTTATATTTTTTATAGAATTCAACTATGAAGTTTATTTAGAAACGATATTAAGTTAATAGATTTTTATTAAACAGTTTTAATACTCCCCAAAATAAATACCTAAAGCGTAGATTACATTGGATGAATTTACTCACTACTTATCTGCGAACAAAATCGCGCGCGACTAAGCGGTTGTCCTGATTACACTACAGCTATACTCGCTAGTCACGTAGTCGCAGGTATTCGCGCATGTCACAAGTTGCTAACAATTCGATATATTAATACTGATATATTAATTTAAATGATTTGGTTTAGTTTTTGGTGGAATAGCCATTCTCATTTGAGTGTCTTTTTTTATTAATCCATAAACCATTTGTAAAAAATTATCGAATTGGGCCACGTTCATTCTTAGAAGATTTCGGTTGGCTGCCGTATCTTCGTCTTTTAATTATTTTATTAATGTACTGGATGCACTATAATTTTCTCGTCTAGCAATCCAATCTCTGATCCAAATTCTTCTCTTATTTCTAGTTTTCCTTTTTTTCAACTCCTGACGTAATAAAAGAGATATAACAACAACATCCGCGTTAACTACAGTCTCTTACATCTTGCAAGTTATTTTTAGATTTTAAATTGTTTGTTTTTTTATGTGTGAATAAATTAATATATTATTAAAAATTATTTATTTTTACTGATTTTTAGAAATACGAATTCATTGGATTTAGGTTTTGAGTGGATCCAAACAATTTTGGACAAACCTAAATAGTTATCATTGGATGGTGATGATACCTGTATGGTTGACGGATTAATAAAAAGTTCTAGTGTGAATTTTTTGGGAAAATATATCAAAAACAGTTCAATATAAACAAAAATTTTGATTTTTTTTTATATTAGACTATAAATATTTGTCGAAAAATCATTAATAATTATGTTACAAACTGTTATATTCATTTCTAATATAGAAAAATGTATACGAGTAGTTGTTATTTTATTTTATTATACTCGCATTCTCAATCCAAATGGAAACATTGGTTTTATGGATATGATAAATTTGTATCATTAAAAATAACCATCAGTATTCGAAAAATTAACTGATCATACTTCATTAGATGTTCGTATAAAAGGATGGCAATAGGGACGGTGAGGTGGACTAATTTAACATAAGTCAGTCAATTTTATAATTTATATTAAATTACTTAAAATATACACATTTTTTATATAGATATCTTGTTATCATAAATAAGTATTCACGGCCATAAGATAGGTTTTTTGATCTTCTTAAATTCTTTTTGAATTGTGTTACCACTATTAACTGTTCTCAAATGTATAGGAACTTTATTTAATTTGGCTTTTTGTATTTTGACATTTGTATAAGATTCTCCTTCACTGTCATAAGCTTCTCGACCTAAATAAACATAAATAAAAAGAAACATATTATAAACTATTTTTTTTCAAATTATGTTAATACTAATACGATAGTTGAACCTGCTCTAAATTAATATATTAAATAAATTGAGAAAGTATCAAAAAAATTATTGGAAAACATTAAGAATTTAAAAATGAAAGACTATTACAATAAATAATTTCACTTTACAAATTGTATATAAGAAAAAAATTTACCTTCTGGATGTAAAATGCTTAAGTCACTTCTAGTCTTAGAATCTCTATTCATCACAATAACTCTTCGGTCATCTAAATTTCCTAAAAAATGTTTTTTATTGTAGTATTAAATTAAATTTATTTAAAATTACATAAATATAAGATACATAAGTTTACAATAATACTTATATATACACACAAAGTTAAATTTTTTCTATTTAACCATGCTATATTTCACAAAATATGAACATTATGGTTCAATTTAAAAAATTAGCCTGCATCAAATATTAATAAATAATAATTCTTATGCAGATTAAAATACATTATATACATTATGTATTTTATAAATCAATAAAAACATTTATGTATACCTTCGGTTTTAGTATTTATTTCTGGAATTTTAAATGTTTTTTTTATCTTTACTTCATTTGAACTGCTGAAAAACATTAATTACGTATTAGTTTA